GATTAGAAACTGGTATTTGTCTTGATATACATGAATAATCAGGAAACGTATAATCACATTCTCAAAGGATTTTATATTATAAATGCCATCAATCGTAGGCTTTTACAACAATTATTCTATACAAATCTAAGTAGCACTGTTGGCACAGCTGTCACACTTGATTTTACTGGCATATTCCATGCATGAGTCTTGTTTTTTTTTTTTGTCTTGCGAGCCAGATTTGATATATTATTGTGTATCACTATATGATAGATGTTAGATACATGACTAGAAATAGAAGTTAAAATGCAAAGATGTTTTCAGACTTTACATATATAATATTAGTTTGTCCCTGGAGGATATAACTGGAGATTCAATACAGTGTTAACACACGTTAAAAGATCATTTTGTTTCCTCAAACTTCAATGTATATTGATCGAGACCAAAAGGATAACTCTTAATCGTCCTATTGATTACGCTAACTACCTTTTCAAGACGACAAAAATCGTTTAGTATTTGAAAGAGTTAGGATTTGAATCGTCTTGCTAGACTACTTGTGATGTAAATACAGTGTGAAGAGTTTATATGATGATGAGTAAATGAGAGACTTCTAGACAATTACTGGTAAAGATCACTGTTGATTTCCATTCAACACAGGATCTACCCATGTCTGATCATCTTCTATGAATCAGGTCCCTGATATGACTTTTCCTTTGACTTTTAGATTAAGGTCATTCCACCTCAGATTCTACCAAAGAAAATATATTGGGCATTCTCATGCTAGTTAGTTCGGCAAAGGAATTTGTATTTGATTTAGACATCATTCCATTGTGAATTCACGCCAAAACCATTGTCTGTAAGAGCATTTATCACTATAGTTTAAAATTTGATAATTCATTATGGTCATCTGTTATTGTCAAAATAAATTTCACCATTATCGATTTTTATATCAAATGTGAACTAAATTGAAATGGTGGTCTATAACTGATAGGTTTCTTTCACCACACTTGTACACCCAGACGATCTCACCACTGCTTGGCAGTTTGAATAAAAGACTTTCTGCTAAAATAAACATCAGATGAATGGGGTGACGTAACATGGCCATGAAAGTAATTCCCTAAATAGAAGAGAGGAAAATGAAGGTTATAATTAAATAAATCTTCCCATGGATTTTATGAGAGTTATATCCCCTGTCTCTGATTGACTGCAGAATAATGTAATAAAGTGATCGGCATGCTTACGGGGTAATGATCAGCCATACAATGTACTAAATTAGCTTATTGAGGATCACTTCTTCGACCAAAATAACTCATTTAAATATGGTTTACTGAAGATTAATAAAGCTGAGAAGGAATATGGATAGTTATTTTTTTTCTCATATCATGGGTTATGGATATAGACAAATCCATGCAGTGTGCAAGAAAGAAAACTATCTGACTTTGTGATGATTTTGTTTTTGTTACATAATGCAATAATACCTATACTTTGACAAATGGAGAAATCACATGAAATCTTAAAGGGCTTATAACCTTTATCTTAAAGTCCTTTTAATTTCTTGTCTGTCGTCCTTTCAAATTCTGGTCCTTATAATTTCTGGTCTGTCATCCTTTTAAATTCTGGTCCTTTTAATTTCTGATCTGTCGTCCTTTTAGGTGTTTCATCTACTACACAATGTCAAATATTGAATATTCTCCCCTATTTATCAAAATGAAAAAGTGCAGCTACGATAACAGCCATTTTGCAATTCATGCACAATAATTTAAGTAAACATCTCCAACTGGCCATTTTCTTAAAGAGTTCTCCAAGGCATCAAGCCATGATCTTTGTCAATAGAGCTTAAAACCAATCAATTGACTGTTTGACTTGGTATTTATTTCCGCTTGAAGAGATTGAGATTTAAATTTCTGTAGTTGTGTGTTTGGCAAATAACTAACAGTCACTATCGATCTGGTCAATTTACAAGTAAATGACGTGATGCATTGCATGCAATTCTTAATGAACTGTGATATGTCGTCAAGAAGTTTTGGAATTGACTTCAACGTTCTTAAGACAGATGCAATAATGAAATTTATGACTCAACTGTTCAAAAATTCTTAAACTCACATGAAAATCTCAAAAAGTTTAAGATCGAATTAATTAAGAATAAAAAGTTAATGTTGAGAAAGGAAATGATTCATGTGTACAATTATAGTTATTCACCATGTTGATTAAATAAGGGAACATAAAAAATGGTATAATTCTCCTGGGTTTTATTTAACACAATGTTTCCAAACTTTACATTTTCATCAAGTAAAATGAGGTTTATGTGCCAATCTATCTGTCCAAGAGAATCTGCATATGTTGCTGAATGTCAAGATTCACAATTACATTCTTTAATTGACAGATGACCTTCAATTTACTGGTTTGACAATAAACAATACACATCTGTATTATATTGTACAGGGACATTAACAGGCACTAAATTATCAAACACAGGCAGATTTTTCTCAAACTATTTCAATGGTTTACTATCAAATAACTCAGCTTTTCACTTCAAACAATTCCTTATCCTTAAACTCATTTAGCACCACTACTGTTTTAATGAACACCATGTTCAAATAACAATAATTTCCAGGTGTATTTATTAATGTTCACATCTGATTATCATTCCAATAGAACACAATACATATTCAATTATTTTGACATCAGACCACTATTATTTCATCCTGTTTCTAATTACAAGCTGAAGGCATAAATCTTTTAAGTTTATGTCGGGTTCATGTTAACAATTCATGCATGTACTTCACAAAACATTTATTGATTCTGGTGGGATTTGTGGAATATCAAGAGTAAATACGGTGAAATTTTGTTAAGAATTAAATCATAGTGAATTAAATCTCATGTGATATAACACAAGTGCATGTCAAAAAGGAATTATTGAGAGATGTCTGTTAGGATCACAACAATAAATAGATAAACCTGCTGCTGCATTTGTTTTCATTGTAACAAAAGTCAGTATTGTTCTATTATATTCTGTTAAATGAAATTGAAACCAAACAGCTATTCTAGTAGAATGATTCTATAATGAAAATCAAACTATTGACAAAAAAGCACACCATTCACTATTGGCTCATTCTGATTATTTGAATATGATATAAACCATTACATGATTTAGATACAGCCCATAATATAAAGTAAAATATAAATGAAAAAGATACTCATTAAAAAATTAAGATAAACGAAAACACGATTCAGATAAAACTGAATGATATTCAGATATAATATCATGTATATAGAATACTCATTGAAATATTAAGATTAACCACATCAAGATTCAGATTAAGCTGTATTGTATTCAGATATAATATCAAGTTTAATGTTCAGTTATGATACTTCATATACAATTAAGATAAAAGTGCAATATTCAGATGAACTATTAAAAGACTAACTTATATGATGTAAGAAATCTGTCCATGCTGTAAGATGTTATATTCAGATCTGAAATAACATCTCCAAGTATAGCAGAAGCCTTTCATGTTTCTTGCCGCCAGTCTACCCAGTGGCCCTTGCTTTGATGACTTATGTTTTGATATAATTATGATGAAAATGTCTATAAAATAGGAAGAATGATATGACTTGATGAAATACATTTGGCCAGCCTCATAATATAATTGTTTCTTTATAGAGATAGGTTGATAAAAAATAAGTTGAGATGTCAAGATGACAGAAGAATCATCTCTGTTTCTTCTCAAAATATTTATAGACATTTTTGACATTTCTGAGGAATATTAGTTCAATTTTTCCATTATCGGAAAAACAGAATTTCTGAAATTAGATATGAAAAATTTATCAAACAACTATAAAGACAAAAAGTAAATCGCAAGTCTATACCAGAAAAGATAATGAGGCAAAAACTCAGTGGTTGTCTTCTAGTACATTGAACTATGTATGGAGATAAGGATTGATTCTGTAGTAATTGCAGAACTCATTAGCGCTATGTAAATAGGTTGCACAGTATCTTTACACAATCAGTGTCACTTTTCATTTGTTCTTTCTTCAATTCATGATACACATTTTTACTGATTCTAGTACAACAGAATATTATCAATCTTATAACATATATAACAACTTTTAATTAACCAGTTTAGAAATTCAAAGTAAAAGATAATTATATATTAATTTCTCTCAATAGACTGTTTATTAAGTAATATTCAATAAGCCAAATTGGTACATAATCATGCTATGTTTCCATTTCTGCTTGATGTTTTCCTTTTACACTTTAGATTTATTGAGATTGTATGTTCATTTGCAACATACTAAACTAAGGAAATAATTCTGCGAAAACAATTCTTAAACATAAGAAAGAAAGGTTTTTCCATTGTAAATTTTTCAAAAAAAGAGACTTATTGGCTGCAACGAGTCTAATATTTTGTTTTCTTGTAAGGGTTCCATTCATTCTGTTGATTACATGATTTGATTTGATTCAGATTTATTCTATTATAAACAGACCATATTATCCTTTATAAAAGATATTCTTACCACCAACTTGGTTAATTATATTCTTCAGTTACCCTAATAATCGTCAATTCTAATTTTCTTTCTGACTTCAAGTGTCTAAATAGGGTGATAAAGAAGTCTAAGAGAGAAAATATATAACATGTTGATTTTATTCTTCAATTCACTAGCAGACAGAACATCTCATAAAATTAGACATTGGCAACTTTAAACTGTTCTTTAATAAGCATTGAACTGTTTATTTGAATTAGTTTTACACTTCTTTTTAAAATAACGATTCGAAATTTATTCCTAAGAATGATTTGATTTGTGGAACTAAATTTTACATTTTGTCTGAATAATAACAACCTATTATGCTTTTCAAAATAATCATTTTCTGGACCCTTCCAAGGAGCAACAAAGATGGGAAGTTTTATTTCTAATAAATTCTGTTATCAACCTGGAATAAAATTCATTTTGACATAACATGAATCTAAAGCAGTCCTTTCCTGATGTACAAATGTTTCTCATATCTAAAGCAATCAGTAATGGTCATTGATACAGATACTAACAGCTCCAAGCAAGATTGTGTATTGAGTAGGTGTAGGTACATTATTACCACAGATCTTATCTGTCTGGTTCATTAATTACATTTCATATACAGTAGTATTTAATGCCTAATATCATAGACTGTGGCCTTGGAGAACAGTCAATACCAATCAATGTGTGTAATGTTTGGAACATTCCAGAAGATAGTCCAAGAATTACATGAAACACCTGCAGCATTATTGATTTCATCTTTCACTGTCTGTTACATCAGCCCTTGTACCTAACATTTCTTTTCCACTATTTCTTACCGGTATATCATTATTACACCAAGTGCATTAGTACTTGGTCCTCAAAGAAGTCTAATTTTTGTAAGAATGGTCCAATTACAAAGAGTTTCTTAGATTGCTGCAAGGCATGTAGGAATAATTTTAATAAAAAAAGACAAAAGAGAAGCTTATCATATATATATGTTGGACTAAATCTTTTTTGAAACAAGTGCCTGACCTCTCAAATGAATGAAGTATTTGATTAATTTGAACTATGTAAGTTGTTTGTAACTATAAGTAAGAAGGATTCTCCTGTAAATTGTATAATTCAAGAACATCAGTCAGTGTCTAGCCAATTAATCAGATAGCTTGTCCTGCTGATATTCTGATCTACTTAAGACATTTCATTACCACCTTCCTAACAACATATCAGCATTGTGAGGAAATCACTGTGTATTATTGAGGTAGACATAATGTTTCAAGTTAACATAAGTACAATTAGTGTCTGTCAAAAGTCAACACTTTTAGTCCTACAGATTGCACAATAATCAATCTGGTCTCAAGCCGAATTAATCCTTGACCAGACTAAAGGCTTATGTCACAAGCCATCTGCGGATATGTCAGTTAACTGAATTTAATGTTACATGACAAATACTCATTACTTATCAGTTAATGAAATGAATGGAGTTTTACATCCTACTCTTCTGCACCTTATTGAACTAATGGAGATGGACAATGCACTACAATGTGTAATGAAGCAAAATTTGCCAGGACAGTAGTTATGGCCTACTCTTTCAATTTTCAACAGTCAAGAGGTCTTTAAATTGGCACAGTCTGTAGCAGAAGATCCCTCCGTTTATTGTCCCATCCGAACTTATCAGTTAAGGGGTAGAAAAATTAGATTTATTGCCTCATGTAAGATATTAACCTTACTGATGGGATCAAACATGTTCAGCCATTAAGGTCCATCATTGGCACTATCTATGCAACAATTAACAACCACACACTAAATTCATGTGATACTTCCCAATAAAATTGTTGGTACCATTATGATTTAGCTGAACGCTTAAGCAAAGATCATTAATCTTTTGAATTGTTTTAATCTAGTCTTTGAAATTTGTGAAAATCATGAAAGCTGGAGGTCATGAGTTTCAATAATATTACTATTGACTTCACAGGAATCTCTTCATAAAACTATAGAATTAGGAACAGATTTGAGAAAATATCTAATCAAATTGCAATTCCAGAGATAAAATGCTTTTTGATTAATTTTTCTCAAAGAAACTGAAGACAGTTTTGATGAATGTTAGTTAAATCTCCACAGACTCATAATATTTAGTTAATATATTTTTAAACCAAGCCAATAATCCAGGATATATTAATTTCGGACCAAATGAGTCTTGGGCTTGCAATTGATTCATTCTATTCTAATCTTCCTGACACAACTTTCAGAAAAATAATCAAAAACTTATGACAAGACAAACAATTTTTAATATTTCACTGTTTTTAATGTCATTATTTACTAAGACAGTTGGTAGTGGAAGTCTAAGATAGAATATTTGAGTGGTAATCTTGTCATTTGATATATAAACAATGGGAATTGTCTGATCATTTGTCTTTAAAGTAACTATCATTAAATTTTCTTTGTATAAAATTGATTATGACTATGCAAAGCTTAAAAAATTCAATATAATAAATTGCTGTAGTAACCAATACATAAAAATGATAGCTGTTGTCTTTCTGAATGATGGTTTTAGTATACCTTTATTTCTGTGTGACCCACTGCAATTCAAATTGTTGACAAAACGTATAAGAAGGGGCTTCTATGAAATTGAATTAGAATTTCCTTTAAACTAGTCATTTGTCTTGTTGTCTGGCATGGTGCCTGAAACTTTATTCAATTGATATATAAGAGGAATATTGTATTTTGAGTAAATCTGATATAGAGTTGTCTGGGGAAGAAGAATTCCAGTGTCATTAAAGGAAATCTTACAATTGTAGATAGAGATGAGTAATATCTACAACTTGATAGTATTCTTAATCACAAAATTGTATTCTCTTAACACATCTTTTACTTTTTCATGGACATTTTCTCTTTACACATAGATGACTTCTTAAGCAATGTGCAAAAATCCTTACACCATACATTCTAACTCAATATATTCCATATTTAAATTAACGAACTGCACAAACAATACTCTCTTACTGAGGGTAATGCCTGTGCTTTCGTGGCATTACTTAAATGCAACGTTACACCTTATATAATTTCTATATATATATATATAGTTCCAGCTTAGGTCAATCGTGTACCCTTTACAATTATTTCAAAATTCTTCTCTCCAACTCTTGTTCTTTGTACTGATATGAAATACTAACTAACTGATTTTTCTCTTTCCAGCCAGGGCAGCAAGACCATTGACCTATACGTTACCCACATTTGTTGATACAGAAAGAAACATAACAGCAGAAGTTGGTCAAACAGCAAGATTACCTTGTGTACTTAAAAACCTCGGCCCTAAAATGGTAAAGTCATCTATTGTTGTTAAATTATTGGGTTCTTGGTATATTTTTCATGGGAAAATATGCCACAATAATTTCTGTCTTATACCTAAAAGTGTGCTCATTTAGCATGCATGTCAGATCTAAAATCCTTACCATGACAGCTAGTTTTGTCCAATAAGGCTCAAAGCATAAGAGAAAAATAAGTGACTTAAAAAGTAAGCTAAAGATGAGTACTTGTGCTGGTCCTATGATACCAACACATTCAGATACTGAATAGAAATAAACTGATTTCAACTGTTATGTTAAGAACATTGTTTCCAAAGATGATTCAAGTGAATTCAACCACTAAGAATCATAGATTTTATTCTTTCTTTCGTCTTTAATTTCAGGTGATATGGAAGAAAGTTGATCAAGTTCATCCAATTTCCATTGGAAATTATATATATGTGCCAGATAGTGACTATTATGTTGAACATGAAGAAACTACAAGCCCCACTTCCACTTCTGAATGGAATTTACGCATTAACAGTGTTAAACTACATCATGCAGGAGTTTATGAATGTCAAATAAGTGCCAAAGAAGATATAATGCGTAATATAACATTGAATGTTGTAGGTAAGGTGACCAATAAGAAGATTCATCTGTACCATATGGGTAATCATTATTTAAAATAACCAAACATATCTCTAAACATCAGTTTAAACTGATTAAAACTTCTTAGAAAGTTAAAGAAAAATTTTCTGTTTGGCTGTTATAGTAGATATTTTCGGCAAATGATACTAAATGATCTCAAATCTGCTGACTTTGGTAATTCAAATCTTTATTACCTATATTTATCAGGTACCATTACTTTCCTTCCCAATCAAACCAGATAAAATTACTAAATGGTGCCAAACTAACATGTTTCACATCAAAAGATGTTAAATTTATCAAATATGCCAAATTTCTAATCAATTCAATTGGAAGCAATTCAAATGCTGTTTTTGGAATTCTGATCTAAAATTGTTGAATTAAAACTGATTTTTATGGATATAAGAAATTACTAACATTTTCTGTTTATATAAATTCTTCTGCAAATTATTTAGCTTTGTATATTGATGTAACATATTAATGCTACGCTATTATACTCTTTGCTATATCGTTTCATACTTGTTAGGCTCTCATATGCATATATTTGCAGTTATTTACAGTTTTCTATATCATTAAATGCCAGATACAATCTGTACACAGTCAAATATGCAGTTCATTAGAGTTGAGTTGTAATCCATTAAATAAGAGTAGACAAATTTTCATCTATTATTTATAACGTTGATCATTTCAATAGAGTTTTTAACTTTCTCAAGAGACGAATTTCTCATTACTATTTGTGACTGTCTATTGCAGAGCGTAAAAAAGGGAATCCAGGTATAGAGCTTGGTGGTACATTGTTTGTTGAAATAGGAGCAGAAATAAAATTAAAGTGTTCAGCTTCGGCAATAGACTATTTACCACTCGATGTTGATTGGTTTAAAGACGGTTTAAAAATACGACCAAAAACGGAAAGTCGTGTGTCAATAAGTAAATATCCTTCTCGAGAGACAAATACTTTAAATAGTACATTAGTTATAGAACATAGTACTATGGATGATGCAGGTACCTACGTGTGTCGTATTTCTAAAAGACATGTGGCCAGTCTCAAGGTTGTGGTGCTAAATGGTAAGTAGGTTATTCAGTGCTTGTGCAACACAAGTACTTAAAATCCACCTTTCAAAGCAATTCTGAATCACATTCAATGAACAAAACATTAGACAAAATAGACAGTTCAAGATTGACAAGGAATTACTATTGTATGGATTGGTAAACCTGTAAACTGCGAGAGCCAGCAAATCATGACGAAGAATACAATTAGGCAAGACAATATTTTGTCATGTAATGTCTATGGGGAGCAAGACATATTCTGTGTTTTTAAATTCACATGGCTTTTGCTTATTAAAAATTTAAACTTTCTTTTTTGCAAATTCTATTTCGGTTGCAAGCTTATCTGATGCTTTGAGATTACTCAGTTTGTGGAAACAAAAGCTACTTAAAGAAACTCAAATAGTCATGCAGACTTACCTTCAGTATATATTACAGCATATGAGCTCTTAAAGAATTATTCAAACATAACTCTCAATCGAGACAGCATATTGATCTTTGCTCTGTAACATGCAATCTGAAATGAATATGTATTTCTTATAATAATTTGTCTACTTTCATTTTCTCTTTCAGCGGAGACAATAAATGTTAAACGTGGTAAGCCAATCTTCCTTCTGATCCCTTTTAAAAATAGTCTCATGCATTATTATGCTGCTGAAAATTAGAATGTCTGGCAGTATGCAATGAGGGATATTTTGAAAAAAGCATTGTAATTTCATCATCTTATACATTGAGGAATAAATATTTAAAAACAAAATTTTATACATCAACACCATGAATAATCTGTATAATAAGTAATTGATCCTTTGAAAACTTGCAGACTCTTTGAGAAAAAATTTAAAATTTTCAATTATGCCTGAGAAAGCTAAAATACAGGCCATTTCTTAATGTAGTATTAATATCTTATTATGATTTATTTTCAAGTTTTAGAAACACTAATGGAAATTCATATTTTTGTTTTTTTCATTTCTCTCTTCTATAGGAACGTTTCCTGATGGTACAGCTGCAGGTTCAGATCAAGTAAAACATCACACATTTAGTCATGGACATCAAACTCAACCAAACTTTTTATATATCTTCTTACTGTCCTCTCTCATTTCATTATATACTTTACAATTCTTAAATGGAGTTTGAACAACTTGTTCCCTGTGAGGTATAAAACTGATGTCAAAAAAGGTTTGTGAAAATTGTGATAATGTACCAAAAATGTTGTGATTGGAAATCTAGAGAGGTTGTAAGCTGGCTTATATACCGGAGTGAAAAGTGAACCACTAATTAGTTACTGGATGAGAATCGTTGTTGATGGCATCGTGATATATGAAACATCTGAATATTGCACATGATGCTTGTGTTTTGTAACTTGTGGTTAAAGAAGTATACACTGAAATCTCTAGGTACAAGGACTGTACATGGGTCATAACCAGAAAGGACATGGTTTTATCCATTTGTGGTTGTTAACCATTAACCTCATTTTTAAACCTAAAACCACCGCCCTAATTAAAGATGTATATTGGAATTCTTTTAGAGATGTTTTTCTCAAGAAGCTGGTCATTCATTCTTTGACTAAAATAGTGTCAATCAAGGTATATGAAATCCTTTAAAGATATTACCAAAATGAAAGCTTGGATCGGAAGTCAGTGATTTTACACAGATCTTAGTTTTTGTTCAGGAAAATGGCAGCTTTATTGATCATAGGTTAGGTGAAAAATTGAAATCAAACCATATTTGCCAAAACAAGATTCTTGTCGATGAATCCAGAAATTCCAATTTAAGTCAAGAACTACCAGTTTCAGTTGAAGCTTGCACTTCTGCCATATTCTGGAACCAAAACTGAGAAATTAGTAAAATTAGTAAAAAAGTAAATGAAAATGTTTATAACTCAGGGCGAGTGCTATTAGCATCAACTCCATCCAAACATTAACCTGCATGTATATATTCAGCTTTAAATTCTTGTGTTCTTTCATTTTAATTTAATACTCAGATACTATTCTACCAAAAATTATATTTTTCTCCTTGAAACTCTTTATTTTCTTTCCAAAGTTCATCTCCTAGTTTGAATTCCTTCCTTTGCTGCTGGAAGGTTCATTTTCTAGCATTCAAATCTTCTACTGGCCTAATGATGGTTGAGCTTTTCTTTTGAATTAAAAACACCAAAATGTCGAAAAGGAGTTCCCACCGGGTGCAAGTTCCTCTGCATGGTTACAAAAAATTGAATCCTATTCATAAGATATACTTTGTGATAGGCATTTAGTGCTATTCATAAGATAGAAAATAAAAGGACAGGGAGTGAAAAAAAAATCTGAAAGAATCGATGACTACACTGTAATAAGTAATGGTTCAGAAGAAGAAAATTGGTGCCATAATGTCATTAAATAATATTTATTACTGTATATTATCATTTTTTTACATTTTGTATATAATTTTTTAACTGCTGTTATTTTATTTTTTGTATAAAATGAAGTCAGAATGTCCCTTAAAATTACTGCTTTTATTCTTGTATAATGATATTGGTCATGCAACATAAACAAACTGAACTACTTTATCTTTTAGAAAACTGAAATTATTTAAAAACTCAGTCTGATATTAAGATTGTGCAATATTTCATTTCAATTAGGGTTAATAATTAATTCCTTCTGAAACACCCACCGAGAGTATGGCCACCATGTACATTAATTAATTTCTGTTTTAACACATATTGTGTTTTCTTGTTTGTATGCTTGTATGCATGTAAGTATTACCAAAATAATAGAAACCAGTTATGCCTGGTCCTTAGTTAAAATAACCAGAACAATGGTATAATAATCTTACATCGTTTTAACCCATCAAGAATATAATACACCACTTTCTGGACATCTGGCTTGGAAAATTTTTGATAAAGGAAACATATGAAGAGTCATTGGCAAAACCTGCTCTGATTTTACTTAAGACTTGTAGAATTTGGACCTTTCTGGTGACACACTAGACTCTTATAAGTTTTGGCTGATTTTGGACTTAATTTCAATAAGCAATAAACTACACATAGACAGTTGGAAAACTGGACATCCCTTTTTTTTGCCTTTGACTCTTCATATGTATATGTGGAAATGTGTAATTGTACTCAAAGTATCAAATATTTTTTTCTTAAATAAACAGTTTTGTACATGAATTAATAAATTGATCATGACCATGAAGCTGTACATTTTCATTATATTTGTGTATGTACATGTTAGATGCTTTGAAATAAATTGTACATTAATTTGAACTAATAAGTTATATAGATTTTATTTGAAATAAAAATGTTGAAACAATTCATGACTTGTTTATTTTAGGAACAAGCCACCTTATTATTGGAGCACATTTTTGACAGAAAATTTTTTTTAACCATAGATTTTACAAAACGATCTATTAGTGGAATGCATTCAAAATGTCCTTAAGAACTGCTTATTCCGAAGAGACAACAAACAAACAAAAATTAAAAAATAACATAGCAGACCACCATCTGATGTCTCAACTGATTCTGAAGTTGTGGCTTACTCCATTCCGTGCTACTGCAGAGTCACTTATATTGGAGAAACCTCCTGCCCCATCTCGATCCACAACAAAGATAATGCAACATCAACATTGAAAGAAGATTCTATATCAGTTTTTCAGAGGACCTAATTCAATTCCCCTCTCACCATGTCCTCTGGGACAAAAAGTCAATTCTTGCCAGAAATCTAACAGATAATCAACAAAGAAGAATCTGCAAAAGCTTGGACATATACCTCCACTTTCCTTAATTATTTTTGTTAGATGTGCTCTCCGTTTCTAAATGTCGTTCAAATTTAAATTTATACATAGTATAGTTTTGTTACTGGCAAAATTATCAAAGATAAATACTTTCATACCTTGTTGAAATCGTAAAAAATTGAAGCAATGCATAAGTATACTTATAACACAAGAATACAGGCTATCTAGTATATGTTCTATTTATTTGTATTTTTATTGTAAGGTATAAAAATGAAAAACATTCTATTTCACAATAAGTTATGAAACTGCACAATTTATAGTTATTTTTGGACAAGAAACAAATTCAAATCAAATTTATGAAACTTGTTTTTTAAATTAACAATGAAAATCATTCAATATATCATCATTAATGAGGAAAACTATTCAATTCTTTTGCTAATAAAATCAAAGCATCAACTCCTGAAGTTTATGTGTTGTATAATTGGTTTCTTTTTTTCATAAATGATATGTTAAAAATTCATATGAAAAGGGAACAGTACAGGCCTATACAGTAGATTGTAGATTTGACTTAAATTATTATTTGTTATTTCCATAAAATTGGGTAGACAACTCTGATTTATTTTAATAATTTTCACAGATGTGCCAAAAAAAATCTCTTAGCAAGATTTTTCAAATAATAGGAATACATGGTAGGTTTTTTGTTAGACTGGATTTAGATTGGGATACAAGAACTAAAGCCAGTCTAAGGTAGCATCAGGTGTTCTCATAATATTCATCTGGCTGACAAAATTCATTAGCAGACAATTTTGCGACTAAATTAGATCAATAAATCATGTTATGTATTTTTTATGGAGAAATTGAAAACTTCTTATGTCAGACAACAAACATTATTAATAGCTTACACGATTTAATTCTTTTCAAGAAATAAATAGGATTCCAGGAACATTATACACATTATCTAGCAAGAAACAAAAAAACATAAGTAGGCCTACATAAAAATACACATACTTTGTCGTATGGCAGAATTTAAGACATTATCAATATTAGGTGACTACAAACTCACCATCACCCTAAAGTCTGCCTGTGCTTTTGAGAGTCAGCCCGTTGTTAGTTTGCACCCCCTAATATCTTAATAATACAAGAAGCACTTAGTTTGCACTATTAGCTGTCATAAGTCAAATTTAACACAGAAATATCAATCAAAGGGAAGCAACAACTGTTTTCAAAGGAGTTGGAATACCATTTGATGATTCAAAAAGATACCACCAGATCAATTCTCAATCTGTCTTCCCATGTGTATATTAAATTGGCTGAATGTTATCAAATCATTAGTACTTGGTTTATTTATGCAAGACGTTTGATATGGAAGATCATTAAAATCTCAATCTTACACAAATTGAAATCCTTCATTACAAAATTTTGTAAGATAATGAATCTGATACAAGAATAACTTGTCTACCAGACATTACCTAATAATGAAGCTTAAATATAAGCTTAAATTAACACCAGCTTAAGTGAATATCAATAAATAGAGTTGTTTCCCATCCTTCACTTGCAAAAATGCATGTTAACTGTTCATTCCACGCTGATGACTGATGTAATTCAATATTTCGGCTTGCATTCATCAATTTTTGGCTTGCTTCCCTTAGTTTTAGCAGAATACTTCAAGTTTTAACTGTTTTTTTGTAAAGAAAAAATATTTACTCTTGTCAGTTATCCACCAAGGATGGACTATGGGAGTATGGGTATTGGAATTCATGATAGTGGAGAAAAGATCAACTTGGTTTGGATAGGTATAAGAATTTTGATTTGTTAATTAACTAATCAAAATCTCACAAAAATTGCTACTCATGTTAAGTTATGTTAGGAGATAAATGCATTAGGCACGTAACTTTTGATCTTGGGATGCATTAGGCACATTCAGGTTATGCTTAGAGATAAATGCATGGCAGGCCTA